TTTCCAGATTGGTGGGCTGGCTATTATTATTGTTGTTGTTATTTTATATTGGTTTGCATTTGGAAAGTCAGCTGTCAGGAACTTCTCCAGAGTACTGAAGAGCAACAACGTCAGGCTGGAGACTAAGGTGTGCCTGATCCGGGCTATAGTCTTCGCATTTTTGTGCTACGTATTGGAGAGCTGGACAGTGACAAGGGATGACAGAAAGAGAACTGATGCCTCTGAGCTGTGGTGCTAGAGAAGAGTGTTGCATATACCATGGACTGCTAGGAGAACCAACAGGTTGTCCTGTAGAGGGTGAAACTGGGCTGCTCCTTGGAGTCAAGGATTCTGAAGCTCCGTCTGACATATTTTGGGTATGTTGCAAGGAGGGACAAGTCCTCATAGTCCTTGGACATCATGTTTAGGAGAGTGGAGGGATGGCACAGGAGAGGAAGATCCTCAATGAGATGGATCTATTGGGGCGATTGGGGTAGTGGGACTAGGTGTGTTGGAGACAATGAGGTTGGCACAGGATAGAGCAGGGTTTAGGTCTCTCTAAATTTCCAGTTTTTTATCAACCTTAAAAAATGTATTACTAACCCTTTAAGTTAAGCCTATTAGATATATTATTCTATGTATTAATAAAATGTTCTGGTAGCCTCATGGCAAGACGCTGCACTGAAATCTCAAAGGCACGTGGTTCAAGGTCACCAGCTGCTCTGCAGAAAGAAAAGATGGGCAATGTCCTCCTGTGCAGTTAACTGTCTCTGAAAACCTACTGGTGGGTCAGCTATGGGTTGGCTCCAACTTTACAGGGTTGTTGTTGTTGTTGTGTGCCGTCAAGTCACCTGTGACTCATAGCGACCCTATGTACAACAGCCTTAAACCCTGCTCTGTCCTGTGCTAATCTCACAGTCTCCGACACACCTATCCCAATTATCCGTCACTGAATCAATCCACCTCATAGAGGGTCTTCCTCTCCTGTCCTGTCCCTCTACCCTCCCAATCATGATGTCCTTCTCCAAGGGTTGATTCTCCTGGCAACAAGTCCAAAGTATGTCAGACGAAGCTTCAGAATCCTTGCCTCCAAGGAGGAGCCTGGTTTAAACCTCTCTGGGATAAACCTGTTCATTTTCTTAGTAGTCCATGGTGTATTCAATATTCTTCTCCAACAACACAGCTCAAAGGCATCAATTCTCCTTCTATCCTTCCTATTTATTGTCTGGTTCTCTGACACATAGCAAGTGATTGCAAAAATCATTGCCTGTATCGGATGCACTTTAGTCTCCAGAGCGACATAATTGCTCCTCAGTACTTTGAAGATGTCTCTACCAGCAGACTTTCCCATTGCAATACATCTTTTAATTTCCTGGCTGCTGGTGCCAAGAGTGTTGATTGTGGAATACAGAGCAATACATGATATGTTTGTTCTAAGTTTTATTTAACTTCTGCTCTTGATATATTTTGTCAGGTTTTCCCCCAGATATTTTAATTATGTTTTAATCTAATATAAATATTTAATACCAGCTTGCCAGTGCCTATGTACTCTTTGGGTCTCACTGATCCTTACTCACTAAGCTTTAGTACACCAACTTCCCTCAATATCTTGAAAATACCCTCCATATTTCCACACTTCTGTTTTTACTATAGCTTTTCCTTCTGTAAAGAATACGCTCTCTGTCTCATACTCCTCTAGCATAGCTGCCTCCAATGGATAAAGTTGACAGTCAATTATTTTCACCCATAGCTTCCATTAGAAGGCAAAACATAATCACTTACCATCAAATAGATCCCAACTACCTGAGACCCTGAAGACAGAGCCTGTGCAGATCTACCCTTTGAGTCTCCAAGACTATCTCACTGCAGAGCTGCTTGTCTTGTCTTTCTCTGAGGAATCAGTCATTGAGTCAGAATTTATAACGTTTCAGTTAACAGCCACTAACTGCAAGTTCAACCACTGCACCCGAGGGCTGCTTCATTAGGCACGGTAACATTGTTCTAACAGAGACACTGAAATCCAATGCTTCAAGGGCCGTAAAATTTGCTTACTTCTATTTCGTAATCATCTCCCTGGGAGGCCCAAATCATTTGCCTAAAATGCTAAAAGTTGACTGTTCTAACCCACTCAGAGACACCATGGGATAAAGCCATGGTGAACTCCTTTTCTGATGACCAATCACATCTCAAAGCCGCTGGGCTCTAGAAGTTCCTGACTCACGGTGACTTTCCATTGTGCTTTCAAGGCTGTGAGTCTGTAAGCAAAGATACCCCCTCATCTTCTCCTCCCTTAGAACAGCTGGTAAATTCAAAGCACCAATGTCTTGAATTCTCCATGAGTCAGAATGACTTGACTGCAGTGGCTTTGATTTTCCCTTTTTCTTTAATATTCTAGAGTGGACATTGCAGATCAGCTCCGTGGTTCATTTTCTGTGCAGTCATTTATTAAGGGGAGTTCTCATGGCCTAAAGAGCTGCACTCACAACCCAAAAGCTCAGTTTCGAAACCACCAGCTGCCCTGAAGGAGAAAGATGAGCAATTTGCTCCCGTTAAGTTTATGGCCTCAAAACCCTCAGCAGAGTCAGCTCTGAGATGCTCCTGACTCTACAGCATGAGAGAAAACAACAATAAAATCAACAATCATTTAAGGACCTAAGCAGCTGTTGAGTTTTTAAATCTTCAACAAATAGTTCCAAAGACTTCTCATTGCCGATCCAGGTGATGGTGTGTGGCGAGTGAATGGGGAGCACAGCATGTTACAGAGTTTTCTTCTGAAGCGTAATTCAAATTCATTGCTGTCAATCTAGAACTGGCTCGTAGCTGCCTCTGCAGTGGGCATTCTGAGGCTGTGGATCTTACGAGAGGAGCTTGCTCATATTTGTCCTGCAGAGCTGCCGGGGAATTCAAACCTTCTGCGGTGCCACCTTTGCAGTAATAAGCAGAGCTTGCTAACGATTATACCACCAGAGCTTCCTGTTTCTCAAACATTTTGTCATTGTGTACCATCGAGTTGGAACAAACTCAGAGCTGAGCCTCGGGTTTTCAGAAACAGTAGATCACACGGGAAGAGATTGTTCCTCTTTATTTAAGGGAGCATCTGGCAGATGTGAAAGGTGTGCTTTGGGATTGACAAAGCTATTTCATCCCAATAGAACATCAGAGCCCCGTCCCAAACACATCGCGGTGGAAATTTGAGTCTTTATTTCTGCATACAATACTCAGATGAAAAGGAATCTGGGAATGTACTCAGTGGTTTTAATCTGTCTCATTTACAAGTTCATTACTATTGAAGAATAGAAGATGAATGTTGGCAGATGAGTAGCCCTCTCCACTCCAGAACCCTGCAGTGATTTGTATATCATATATTCTTAACTGTTTTTAATCTGTCTTTCTGTATTCTTACTAGATGGTAACTCTAATAAGGGAAAGGTACACACTGTTTTATTTACCAATATGGGTTTTGTGCTTAATAACCTTCCTATATTATGGTGGATACTCAATAAATATTTGCTGTAGGAATTAGTGAATTGATATTAAAGAAGAGAAAATGGAAATCTAGAGATATTAGATCATTTCTTCATTCTTTGAGACTGGGAGACAATATTGTAGTAATACATAAGAATATATAATACATAAAAAGTTATACTTGAGGTATGTGTCTTAACAATTCTTTATTTTTAGAATTCTTTCATTCATTTAGTATTCATTCATGTGTTCATTTAAAAGTAGATCATAAAATGACTATATGAGCCCTTTCTGGAGTCTTCCTGTGAGTGGCTGATTGTAGAAGAGTCGGTCTATGCTCACAATAGGGTTAGTGTAGCCACTGCATGCAGGGGCAGGCCACAAGTTTTAATTAAATCAGAAATGTTTCGGTGATTTTGGTTTTGTTTCCTTCATGATGTAAATACTGTTTCCTGGACCGTGCTATTGGTACTCTTTAATGCTAAAGTCAACTTTATCTTCCAATGTTAAAGGCATCTCCTCTGCATTGAACTATCAGTGTCAATGCAAAGGAGTGGTTAAATTCACCCTGAGCTAGTTCAATTATGTGTAAAATCTTACTATTTTAATTTTTATGCAATCTGATGAGTAGATAAGCTCATATTTAAAATTATTAAAGCACGTTTATTGTAACCAGAATTGTTATGTATTAATACTGCAGTTTTCAATAAAGATTGATTTGTGTTGCAAAGAAAAAACTGACTATGTGAAGACCTAGATCTAGAGGAGATAGAAAAGGTCTCTTTCGTCTCATTGATTTAGTCACATAGAAGCCCTCCTTACACCATTCCACTCTACATTTTCACAAATAGCGGGTACACATCAAATTAAAACCATACTTGATGTGTATAATTGTTATAGGTTACTGTTGGTTTGTTTTTGTTTTTTTAAGGTACACTTCTCTGAGTTGAGCTTTAAATATTTTTTATTGACAACGGGCCTTTCACTGAGTGTTGTTATATTTGGAGGAACATTCTTCCAAGTTGTACATCACTCTTTTGTCAATTTGCTGCACTGAGATAATCTGGGTTTGCTGTTATGTTGAGCCTTGTGCCACTGGGGTGTCAAATACCATAACGGCTGCCCATGGTTGACAGTGTATGGTGGAGCTCCCAGTTTAAGACAGGTTTGGAAGCAGGAGTGGCACCCACTTCCTAAACCACATGCCTCTGGAAACTCTATGAACCTGGAGAAACACTGATAGTTATAGGAGGACTTCAGGTCTTTTGTTAAGGGTCATTAACAGTTGTGATTGACTAGACAGCAATCAACAACTGATTGTCTAGAATAATAATTTTTAAAAAGTGGATAAGGAATAATGGCAACAAATATCTATCACAAATTTATTATGTTAAAGAGAAAGAAAATGGGGGAAGCATATAAATAAATCTGCAACTATATCTGATCATTTTTTTAGTATTCATTACACTTCACAATAAAAAGAAATCTAAACTGCAACTTTGAAAATGTCTTTTGCATAAAAATTAACTCTGAATCTTTTTTTTCTTCCCTTCAAGATATCGAAGAATTTGAAACCAAAACAAGAAGTCCAGTGTCTGTCCGTGAAGGTCAAGGGGTGGTACTTTTCTGTGGTCCTCCACCACATGTTGGAGGTACGGTCAAGTCATTGTGGTCATACTGTCAATGTGGTTTCTCAGAGGCTGTCATGAATTGAATTGTGTCCCCACAAAAGACAGCTAGAGGCTTTGTACTTGGGAAGGTGACTTTACTATTAAGATCTTCGGTGATGTTGTCAGTTGTTAGTTTGAGGTCATACTGGAATAAATGGGGTCTTAACCAAGTATGACTGGTGCCCTTTTAAAAGTAGAGAAATGATATAAAGAAAAAGAAATTAAGGCCTTGTAAAGGTGAATTTACAAAGCAAGGAAACCTGTCTCTATCAGAAGCTAGAGCACACAAAGAATTTCTCCCTAGAGAAACAAGTAGGAAGATGGTCCATCTAACAAGTTGAATTAAATGCCTACTATCCCAAATGAAAAGTAGTAACATCCTTTTTATTTAAAGTACCAAGTGTGTTACAGAAACCTGAGGAAACCATTAAACTAATTGTTGTCGAGTTGGGATCAGCTCATAGATCACCCTCCAGCAGAAAGCAGAGGCTATAAAATACACAGAAGGGGATTGTCCAATTTATTTCTGCAAAACTAATGGTGGATTTGAACTGGCAGAGAGACATGACAACTGAACAAGGCCCTGAATACTGCTCTATGCTGTGCTATCCTTCTTTTCTAAGGCATATGCTCAGTCCATCTTTTTGAGAGTCTTCCTCTCTCTGTGTCCTTTCCAAGTATGATGTCTGTTCACAAGCAACAGCCTCCCCTAACATCATGTCCAAAGGACGTAAGACGTTTTGCCCTCTATTCCTCTAAGAAACACCCTGGCTGTCCTTTCTCCAAAAGGCGTTCGTTTATTCTCTTGGTAGAACATGGCACTTCCTTACTCTTCTCCAACAATTCAAAGGTAGCGATCCCTCCATGATCTTTATTCATTGTCCAACTCTCAGATGAGTAGCAAATGACTTGCAAAGACCATGGCCTGTATCAGGTGCATCTTAGTCTTCAAACTGATATCATTTCTTCTCAGTAATTTGGAGAGGTCCTTGATAATAGACTTTCCCTATCTTATAATTTCTTGACTGCTGGTACCAAGGCTGTTAATTGTGGAACAAAGTAAGATGAAATCATTGACAACATCAATCTTTTCTTCATCTATCATGATGTTGCCTGTTGGCCTAGTGGTGAGGGATTTTGTTTCTTAATTTTTAGATGTGTTTATATTGAAGAATGTAGTCTTTGATCCTCTGCAAGAAGCGCTTAAAGTCCTTTTCACTTTCAGCAAGTAAGGTTGTGTTATCAGTAATGCAGGTAGTTGATGAGTCTTCTTCCTCTGATGCAGATGTCATAAAGTCCAGCTTCTAGAAAAATCTGGCCAGCAACCAGATTGAATACAGAAAGAATACAGCTACGACACACTTTTCTTGATTTAAGCTGTGTAGGGTTCCCTTGTTCTGTTGGGACAACTGTTTTTAAATCTACATACAGGTTTCACATGAGCACAATTAAGTATCTTTGGATTTCCATTCTTCTCAACGTTAGCTATAATTTGTTATGATATACACAATCAAATGCACTTGCATAGACTATAAAACACAAGTAGACATTCTCTGTTATTCTCTGCTTTCAGCCAAGATACATCTGACGACAGTAATGATAACTCTGTGCTATGGCATCTTCTAAATCCACTCGGAACATCTGGCAATTCTCCTGTCTATGTATTGTTATAGACATTGACCCTATTTGGCAGGAAACTCCAATAGGACCAAATAAAAATATCTTCTAGGAATGATGCAATCAGTTTTAAAAACCATCTCTAGTGGAAGAATCTTGAATTGCCAATCAGTACATTTTCTTGAATTCCATATGATTTGATATATTGAGTCATGCTTCACTGGCAACAGTGAACCTTGAAATTAATTCTTAAAGGAGTCAACTTGAAGCACCTATTCATTTCTTTTGCTGAAATCCAATATTACATTGACTTATGTTGCTATTATGTGCCATTGAGTTCTATATGACTCATCCACCAGCAGATTTTCTGAGGCTGTAAGTCACCTGCGAGGAGACTGCTGATCTTTTTCTCTGGAAGAGCAGCAGACAGATTCAAACCACCAGCCTTTGGGTTGACAGGATGAGTCTCTTCCAACTAGTGCTCTTTCTAATATGTAATGGTACAGCAATCTTTTCTATGAGGCTTTTATTAAGTTGAGAACATTTTATCAACATTTTCACTTTTTTATTCAGTCCTGTGCAATTCTAATAATGAAAGAGAAGGAGTATGTTAGAAATTGGAAATATTTTATTCAATGTTATTGTTAAAGAGCAGTTTGGAATCATATTTACCGAAAATGTTAGGATAATTACAGCACTTTCAGGGCTATCTTGATATTAAGCAGTATAGGTCTAGAACACATGAAAATTGCTCAGACTATTTGCTGGTGGTTATTTTTCAACCACAGGAAATATTATTTTGTAGTACTGTAATCTCACATGACAAGATATGGAAAATCATGTCTGTTTGGACTGCCAGTCTATGTCATTTTATGCCCTGGCATCAGTCAAAGCTTTCTGACAGAACTGAAGATTGTTCTCAACTTTATTTACTCTAACGGAAGATAACAGAAATGGAAAACATTTTTAAATGAATCAGTCACATATGTCAAGGGATAAGAAAGGCTTTCAGGCAGGAAAAGTTTTTCTCTTGTCACTTGCAACCTACCAACATTAAAATGCATCCTGACTTTTTAAAAAGCATGTAAAAAGTCCTCATTGTATATATTTTATTACGTGTGTGTGTGTGTGTGTGTGTGTGTGTGTGTGTGTGTGTGTGTAGTGGCAAGAAACTGTGCTACAATCCCAAAGGTGTGGTTTGAATCCACCTGCTACTCCACAGGAGAAGGACGGAGGATGGACAATCTCCTCTCATGTGATTAATTGCCTCTGAAAACCTGGCATGACGCTCTATGGTACACAATAACTATCTTTTTACTGCAGTGTGTGAAATCGGCTGGCCTCCTGATATTTTTCACTAAGGTTATCTTATCCCTCAAGTCCTTAGCTTTCACAAACAGTTAACATGCTTGGTCATAGATACAAATACAGATATATATATAGAGAGAGATAGAGAGAGAGAGATGAGAGAGTGAGAGATGAGAGAGATATGAGAGAGAGAAAGAGAGAGGCGCTCTGGTGGCTGCAATCCCAGAGGCTTACTGTTGCAATCCACGAGCTGCTCCGTGGAGAAGGATAAGCAATCTCTCCTCGTGCAAGTTACTGTCTCTGACACTCACTGAAGGGTCAGCTCTGCGTGGCCTCACTGAAGTAAAGTCTATGTTAAATTCAACTCTGTGTGTTTATACATATTTAATTAAATATAATATATAAATATATATATATATATATTTAATCATGGCAGTGATACAACATCATATACACAAGCTCTATCTGCATGCAAAAACATATACAGGGCATGAGTCTTTAGAGATCATCTTAGAATTCTGCCTAACATAGCATGCTTTCCAAAATTATTTCCATGAAATAGTATTTCTCTAAATGTTTCATTCCCTTCCCTTGATTCCTTTCCCCAACACACATGGTAGTAACAGGGAAACACTTTAAAAGTTATGTAAATGAGATGAGTGATGTTAACAGGGCATATTGGACATCACCAAGTGACTAAAAAATTAAATACATATAAAGCAGAGAAACAGAAGCAGACCCTCAAAAAGATAGATTCAGACACAGTGACTGTCATGATGGGCTTGGCCATGGCAGAGACCATGAGGATAGGGTAGGCAGGGCAGCGTTCTGACCTGTTGTTCATACGGCCTTTGGGAGTCAAAAATGACCTAACAGAACACCACCACCATCAACCATGAAGATATTCGGACAATGGTACTAAATAGACAGATCAATGAATAAAAGACTCTACGGTAATAGAAAACATGGTGTTCAGTCTTCAGAGACTGTAAATTGCTCAGGAGGAAATTGCCTTTCACTCGCCTGGAGCAGTTGCTGAAGTCAAACCGAGTGCCTATGGGCTGACAGTACAACCCCTCAGCACTAGGCCACTGAACGACCTAGTAGAAAAGAGCAAAACTGAAACATTTACATCATGTTTTGTAGAGTTTATTTCTGTTATGTTTCTCTCTGAACCAAGTCAGCAGCGATGGGCTCAATAATAAGAGATAATAAGAATGTTACACTTCCTCTCAGAAAACCTTGCGTCCTTTTGTTCTTGTTTCCAGTACATTTGTCGAAATATTATAAAATTTTTTCTTAATGAAGTATCCTACAAAAGAAAGGTGTTATTTATGAATTATGAGTATTTTTAAAATATCAACTTATATGTTTTCTCTGCATAGTTCCTGGAGGACAATTAAAAATCATTAGAAGTAGGCTAGAAAAAGACAGTTTTCCCATATCAATGATTGGTCACAACTAAATGAAACAGTGATTATCATGTGTCAGACAGAATGGGAACACTTATGTACTGGTCTATTCTTATTGTAGATAAAAGGAGGCTTGGCCTAGGAGAAGATATTGTTGAAGAGGTTGTCTCAAATTTTAATGTTAAAGTAACAGAAAATAAAGAGACCTCTTGGAAGCTGTTCCCTGTTAGAAAGGGTCAAGTTAAAGGATACTCCAGGGGGAAAAGTCTAAAATCAGTTACCACAAGTCAACTCCAAATAATGGAAGCCCCATGTGTATATGAGTAGAGGAATGGCCTCCAAAGAAGTTTCAATGGCTGATGGAGATTATCAGTCCTTATGTCCAAGGTACCTCTGGGTGGACTTGATCTTTTAACTTGTCAGTTAGTGGCCCACCGTCTCTGTGAGCTAAGGACTTCAGCTATAAGGTATCCATGATGAAAAGATCAGGAACCCAGTCAATCTGACACACTGCAGTGTAAAATGTTAGCATTGAGGAAAATCATGAACAATTGTTTATACTCTGAGATATTAAGAAGATTCACTTCTTTATACTTATCTCTAATAAGACTCCATAATTCTGATGGCAAATGTAGTTTTACATTC